AAAGTGGTGGGCTCATGGACCACAGACTGGAGGCACCCCTAGACTCTCTTTGGCATGGTTGGTTACAGGCAGTGACCATCCTGGGGACATGTGCTTAGGCCTCTGCTTGTGACTGCCTGATTCCACCAGTTGTCCCTTAAGATCTTTTGGTCTTTTTGAGTGCTTTAAACCAGACTCCAAGTTAATGCTCATTCCCAATCACAGGCCACTTTCATATTGCGGTATTATTTTCAAATGGCTGGCTTATGATGGCTCCCTCTCCCTTCTGTTTATCCTCTGATATCAGTCTGAGTGTTTGCACTCGGCTTTACCTCTCTACTGATATCTTCTGCCCCTGTAGAGATCCAGAAGTGTATAATCTTACACCTCAGGCTGATTTCATGGATGTTCAGAGTGTTCTGATAGATATTTAGCTCATTTTAGGGGACCAGTTGAAAGAGGGCCTCCTACTTCTCCATCATCTTAGCTCTCCTACCGTTTTTTTAAAATTTTTATTGTGTTATGTTCATCACCATAAATTACATCATTAGTTTTTGATGTAGTGTTCCAAGATTCATTGTTTATATACAACCCTAAGTTCTCCATGCACTACAAAATGTTTAATAAAGAATTAATACACATTCTTTCCAAACTATTCTAAAACAAAGAAGAGAAAGTAAAACTACCAAATTGATTTTATGGGTCCAACATTACCTCAATACCAAAGCCAGATAAACAACACAAAAAAGAGAACCACAAGTCAATAACTATATTGAACATAAATACAAAAGTATTAAAAAAAAACTAGCAATAAAATTTTTAAAAGTTAAAAAAAATTCTTCACCATGATCATATGGGATTTATTCCCAGACAACAAGAGTGATGGAATATTTGCAATCACTCAACATGATACATCACTTCAATAAGGTAAATGATAAAAACTATATAGTTATTTCAATAGATGAAGAAAAAAGATTTGCCAAAGTAACCCCATTTATGATAAAAACCCTCAACAAAATAGGTTTAAAGGAAACATATCTCAACATATTAAAGGACTTACATGAAAAACCTACAGTGAACAAAATGCACAATGAAAAAGAGAAAATAAAAAAAGAGAACATTTCCACTAGGATCAAGAACAAGACAAAGAATTGCAATTTCACCACATTTATTTAAACATCATACTGGAAATCCTATCCACAGAAATAAGCAAAAACATTTCATAAGGAAGAACTGAAGTTTTCACTATTTGCAGATGACCTGATACTATATATAGAAAACCTAAAGACTCCATTGAAAATGTCGCTAGATCTGATGCATGCATTAAGTAAGATAATTTAATACAAATCAGTGTAAAGAAATGTGTTGCATTCTTATATTCTAATAAGGAAGGTTGAGAAAATGAAATTAAGAAAACCTATTTTTAACTAGATTATTTGTTTTTTGGGTGTTGCATTTGATAAGTTCTTTATATATTTTGGATAATAACCATTTATCAAACATGTCAGTTGCAAATATCTAATCCAATATAAAGCCTGCCAGTTAGTTTTGCTGATTGTTTCCATTGCTGTGCAGAAACTTTTCAATTTGATGAAGTCCCAATAGTTTATTTTTTTATAATTGCACCAAAACAATAAAATATCTAGAAATAAACCTAACCAAAGAGGTGAAAGACATATAATCTGAAAGCTATAAAACACTGGTGATATAAATTGAAGAAGAAACAAATAAATGGAAAGATATTCCATGATCATTTATTGGAAAAACACAAATCTTATTTTTTTACACTACCGGGGTGCCTGGGTGGCTCAGTGCATTAAGCCTCTGCCTTCGGCTCAGATCATGATCTCAGGGTCCTGGGATTGAGCCCTGCATAGTGTTCTCTGCTCAGCGGGGAGCCTCCCCCCACCTGCCTATATGCCTACTTGTGATCTCTCTTTGTCAAATAAATAAATAAAATCTTTTTTTTTTAATTTACACTACCCAAAGCAGATTTAATGCAATCTCTGTCAAAATACCATCTGTAAGGGTGCCTGGGTGGCTCAGTTGGTTAAATGTCTGTCTTCAGCTAAGGTCATGATCCCAGTGTCCTGGGATCAAGCCCCATATCAGACTCCTAGGTCAGTGGGGAGTCTGCTTATCCCTCCCCCTAACACACCTGTGCTTTCTCTCATAAGTAAATAAATAAAATATTTTTAAAAATACCAACTGTACTTTTCACAGAACTAGAACAAACTCTCCTAAAATTGTATGGAGCAACTACAACAAACCTGAATAGCCGAACCAATCTTAGGATGTAAAAAAAAAGTTGGAGGCATTACAGTTTCAGACTTCAACTTATATTACAAATTTGTATTGATCAAATGATATAGTACTGGAACAAAAATAGACATGTAGAATATTAGAACAGAAGAGAAAATCCAGAAATAAACCCATAGTTATGTGGTCAATTAGACTTGGATAAGGGAGGAGAGAATACATAATGGGCAAAAGATAGTATCTTTAATGAATCGTTTTGGGAAAACTGGACAGTCATATGCAGAAGAATGCTTGCTAATGACATATCTGATAAAGGGTTAGTGCAAAATATGTAAAGAACTGATGCAACTGAATACCAAACAAATAAACAAACAATTTAAAAATAAGCAGAAGACATGAACAGCCATTTTTCCAAAGAATAAATCCAGATGGTTAACAGACACATGAAGAGATGCTCAAATTCACATTATCAGGGAAATACAAATCAAAATTATAAATGACATATCACCTCCCACCTATTAAAATGGCTAAACAAACAAGAAATAATAAGTTTTAGTGAGAATTTGGAGAGAGAGAACCCTCAAGCACTGTTGTTGGGAATGCAGACTGCTGCACTGGTACATGTACACATTAAACAAATACAATGAACTTCAGCATATCTCTTTCTTCACTGGAAAATAATTTAAAAATGTGAAGATTTTCCTATGGATCCCATGGAAAAACAATGATAAATTTATGTGTAAGAGATGCTAAAGTCTTCTTTTATCATACTCATTTATTTATTTTTTAAAGTTTGTTATTACTGTGGTAAAAATCCAAAGAATTGTCAAACAATATTTGGCTCTTTCTACAGTTTGGCGATTATGGCCGTTGTTGCTATGAACATTGGGGTACATATGGTCCTTTTTTTTTTTTCACTAGATCTGTATCTTTGAGGTAAATACCAAGTAGTGCAATTGCAGGGTCATACGTAGCTCTATTTTTAATTTTTTGAGGAATCTCCACAGTTTTCCAAAGTGGCTGTACCAACTTGCATTCCCACCAACAGTGTAAGAGGGTTCCCTTTTATCCACATCCTCTCCAACACCTGCTGTTTCCTGTCCTGTTAAGATATAGTCCATATATACAATGGAATATTACATAGCCATCAGAAATGATGAATACCCAACTTTTGTATCAACATGGACGGGACTGGAGGAGATTATGCTGAGTGAAATAAACTAAGCAGAGAAAGTAATTATCATATGGTTTCACTTACTTGTGGAGCATAAGGAATAACATGGAGGACATTAGAATGAAAGGAAAAGTTAATTGGAGGAAATCAGAGGGGGAGTCAAAGCATGAGATTCTGTGAACTCTGAGAAAAAAACAACAGGGTTTTGGAGGGGAGGAGGGTTGGGGTAGGGGTAAGCCTGGTGGTGGTTATTAAGGAGGGCATGTATTGTATGGAACAGTGGGTGTGGTTCATAAACAACTAATTTTGGAACACCAAAAAAAATTAAATTAAATTAAAAAAGAAATTTAGGTACATGATTAAATAAGGTCACATGTGACTGAGAAACAATACAACTTATTTAATCCAAGTGCCAATAAGACAATATCATGATTTTAGAAGAACAGAACTGATTGAAACTACCTAAGAAATTGTTGTATTCTTTTCAAATTACTAGGTACAGAAGTAAATCACTGTAAAGACCAAAATGTTATTTGGATAAAACATAGACTCTCAAGGGAGATTATATACAAAGTAAGAAAAAAAATCTAAAGTTTTTGTTGTGGTTGTTGTTTGCTTGCTTGTTCATAATGCGAACATTGCAAGTTCCAGATAAGGTTCAAAGCAGGTCCATCCCAAATTTGGCTACTTCTGCTATGATAATAAGAGATATCATAGCTTTTTTGTTTGTTTGTTTTTATAAATTTTACAAACTTTCGCTCTGACACAAATGGAGGTAAAGACAGGGAGACATCCAGACACTGGTGTCTTATAGCTCCATACCTCTGTCTGGTGTCTCTCTGGAAATACTATTTACCCAGCTGACTAGCAGTTATCTTTGGGAACTGTATTGGGTTGCATCTCCTTCCAGTATTCTGTCTCTGTTTTAGGTATCTCTCCTGAGTATTGCTTACAGATGTAGGCACACCTCTAGAATGACCCTTGGCCTATTTTATTATTTTTGTTTACTTTTTATTCTGCTTCAGCATTAGCAAGACTGATCCTTTGGGAAAGTAATGTGTAAATTTTATCTTGGTAGCTCACATAGACTTTATGGGACTATACTTGTTGAAAGGTCTCTTTTAAAATTTTTCCAAAGAATAAAACAGAGAAAATGAATTATTCAATGACCAAATGATAAAATCCATAAAAATAGAAGGATTTTTTTTCAGAAAGTTATACCACAAATGAGTAGATTCCTTGTCATAGAATATCAATGAATGAGAAATATGACACCTATGTTTTAGCTGGGCATTATCCCAGGACCCTGGGATCATGACCTGAGCCAAAGGAAGAGGCTTTAACCCACTGAACCACCCAGGCACCCTTGAGTAAAATGCTTTTATCCAACCTTTGAATCAGTCAATTTAGCACTTCAGGATTTATTTCTTTTGGTGTATACAAATACATCATCTTTTTTCCTCAAGTCCTTGCAGTTAAGAATGAGGTAATTGTTGAGAAAATCTACTGAGATCATTTAAAGCCCTGGAGAGTATTAAATGGAGTTATACTATTGACCAAAAGTTTTGTGAAGCAATCTCATTAGAGCTCATTTCATGTCCTTGTTCCTCAGGCTGTAGATTATGGGGTTAAGTTTTGGAGGTACCACAGTGTAGATCACAGAAAACAGCCTGACAATAACTGAAGGTGGATTTGAGGATGGTTTGAGATAAACAAAACAAGCAGTTATAACAAAAAGAGTAAAAACAATGAGATGGGGAAAGCATGAGGAGAAAGCTTTTGATTGGCCTTTTATGGTTGGAATCTTCAGCACAGTGGAGAATATATAAACATAAGATGTCACAATACAGATGAAACAAGACATACCTAAACACATACCTATTCCAATACTTGTGTAAACTACCAGGAGCGTTTCAGGACAGGAAATCCTTAGCAATGAGGAAACATTACAGAAAAACTGTGGGATCACATTGGAGCCACAGAATGGCATAAAAAATGTGTCAGCAGTGTACAGAGCTCTAAAGAGTCCCCCAGTGGCCCAGGAAACACCTGCCATCAGTACACAGGCATCAGCATTCATGATTACCTCATAGTGCAGGGGACAATGTATAGCTACATACTGATCATAGGGCATGGCAGTGAGGACAAATATCTCACCTGCTGAGAAGGAAGTCATTGAAAATAGCTGGAAGGCACATCTTAAGGTGGGAATAGAATTGTTGTAAGTTAGGCTGTTGGCAGTGAATTTGGGGATTGGACAGACGCAAGGATGACATCCAGGAAAGACAAGTTCTTCAGGAAAAAGTTCATGGGTGTTCATAGCTGCAGGTCTAGGGTAGTGAGAGTAATGACAAGAATGTTACTCATTAAGATAGCCAGGTAAATCACTAGGAACAGTATCTGTTGTAAGTTAGGCTGTTGACAATGAATTTGGGGATTGGGACAGACACAAAGATGACATCCAGGAAAGACAATTTCTTCAGGAAAAAGTTCATGGGTGTTTGTAGCTGCAGGCATAGGGTAGTGAGAGTAATGATGAGAAGGTTACTCATTAGGATAGCCAAGTAAATCACTAGGAAGAGTACCCCATATAATATCTGAAGTTCTGGGATATCAGAAAACCTCACAAGGAGAAATCCTGCCACCAAGGTGACATTGGTCATGCTCGATTCTCTTCATTGTCTGTCAGCACAAGGAGATAAACAAACAGAAATCAATTTACACATCTAACAAGAACAATGTTGGGGCGCCTGTGTGGCTCAGTGGGTTAAAACCTCTGCTTTTGGTCAGGTCATGATCCCAGGGACCTGAGATCGTGCTACACATCCAGCTCTCTGCTCAGTGGAGAGCATGCTTCCCTTCCTCTCTATCTGCCTACTTGTGATCTCTGTCTGTCAAATAAATAAATAAATCTTTAAAAAAAGAAGAATGTTGATATACATAATTATTTAGGGGGGTTATATTTTTGTATTTGTTCTATGTACTTTATTTTATTTAAATTCAATTAGTTAAATTATTTAAAAGGAAAGCAACCCTGTATCTACCTTAATACTTCTGCACTAGTTCAATCTTTTTTTAAGGTAAAGTGATTCTAAAAGTAGTATGTGAATGCAGTCTTCCTATGAATTACATAAGATCTTGTTGCTCCAGCTTTAACTTGTTATCAGATGTGTATAAGTTGAAGAAATATGGACATTTCCTCAACATGCTAGGTATTTACATAATATTAATGTGTCATACATAATGATATATGCTTTTGATTTCTGTAAAACAACTCAGATTACTATGTCTTCATAATGTGTTAGTGTTATTAATAATCTAACAGGAGCAAATTATCAATCCTCATTTGTTGTTGACAATCATGATTTCACATTGACAGTGTATTAAATATACCAAAAATAACAACTAACTTTTCCTAACCTTATGGTCATAAACAAAGTAATAAAAATAAGGACACTTTCTTCAATGTTTATGTTACCTTGAGGTCACGCAATTCATATATGTTGAATGTTTCATCCATGTATGATGGAAATAAAATTTTTAGTAAAAATTTATTTACACTGAATGCACATATGTATAGAAAGACATATTACTGTGATATTCTGGGACCTTTCTAGTGGTTGAATGCTTAATTTTTCCTCCTAAGTTTTATTTACATTCCAGTTACTTAACATATAGTGTAACATTAGTTTCAAGTGTGTAAGGTAGTGATTCGACACTTTCATACAACATCGGGTGCTCATCACAACAAACGCAGTCTTTAATCCTGATCACCCAATGGAGATATCATCTAACCCCAGTCAGAATGACTATAATTAATTATACAAGAAGAAACAGGTGTTGTGAGGATGCAGAGAAAGGGGAATCCTCTTACACTGTTGTTGGGAATACAAACTGGTTCAGACACTTTGGGAAACAGTGTGGAGATCCCTCAGAAATTTTAAAATATAACTATTCTATGATCTAGCAAATTTACTATTAGCTATTTACCCAAAGAATACAAGAATACTAATCCAAAGGGATAAGAGCTGTTCAATGTTAAGAGCAGCATTATCTACAATAACTAAATCATGGAAACAGACCAAGGATCCATTGACTGATGAATGCATAATAATGTGATATATATGTACATATATATTTATATCCATACATATTATTTGCATTAAAGCAGACACCAAAATGTAACATATGTTTTATGCATAATATATACATAACATATATATAATGTGAATATATATATAATATGAATTTATAACATATACTATATATAATATGAACATATATAATCTATATGTCTATCTACATAGGTATAATGCAGTATTACTCAGCCATTAAAAATGATGAAATCTTGCCATATGCAATGACATGGATGGAACTAGGAGGTAGTATGTTAAACAAAACAAGTCAGGCAGAGAAAGAAATACCATATGATTTCACTCCTATGGCAGAATTAAAAAAAAAAAGAACAAACAGGCAAAGAGAAATAAAAAGAGAATGATTTTTACATGAAAGTTTAATTTAGAAGTCACCATAAAAATTTCTTCTCCATTCTTACTGTCTGACTAAATAGGTTTTCTTCATCATGTGATGCTGTCTACATTTTATAATTCTATCAGATATCTTCTCTCAAAATTCAGAATATTTAATTTGGCTTCTATGTTTTTTTCCCAAAAAATAATTAATAAAACTTAATATATCTTACATGTAGACTTAATAGTATAAATGTTAGTGTAGAAAATTAAATAGATTCTCAAATAAGCTTTTCCCTGTTTCCCCAATTCTTAGTACTTTGTCACAGCTTATTTATAAGAAAAAAAATTATATTCAGTTGAAAATTTTTATTTTGTTGAATTAATATTCTTCCTTTTTTCACCACTTTTCTGTAAAAAAAAAGATACAGTTCAAGATGAAGTGTTGTGTTCATTGGCAACATTCCTTTGTCTTCTATAAACTGAAACAGGTCTTCAGTCTTTCTTTTCTTTCATGGCATTGACACTTTTGAAAATTGGAATGTGCTTTCATTGTTGATGGACTTATTTCACATAATCACATTTAGGTTAGCATCTTTGACCAGACTATTATGTGCATACTCAGAAACATACAATATCAGTTTATAATCATTTTGATAAATGGGCTATGAGTCATTACTGTTTTATTTAGTTGTGTGTCAAGATGTAGTCTCTGGAAAAGGAGAGTAGTACTGTGAAATTTTTCCTGGGAAACTAAACCTGTGCTTGGAAAGGAAAGAAAACACAATTTGTGTTGAGAATCTCTCCACTTGCTTATTGCTACTGAGGCTTCATCACTTCTATATCATTTTGGCAGAAATTATATCATGAATTTATACTGGTGATTCTTGATTTCCCACTGGATTCATATTTTTATTCATTTCTTCCATTCTTCCATACTGGAAAACCTAGATCCCAACCATATTAAATTATAACTTCATTTGTACAATCCTAATATAAGGATAACATGGTTTTAGTATTTGTACAATCATATCACTGTAATAACTAGACTACATAAAATAGGTGATTTTTGGCAGTTTTTTTTTCTTCTCTAGATTACATATATATAATTGAAGAACTCTGCTCAAAACTTGTGTGGAATAATTTATTATTTTTAATTTTCAATAAAATGTTTTTCTTCTGAAATTCATTTATTTTCTTTGATTCAATTTGTGTTCCACCTTAATTTTTTGACATCCACATTTGATTAATTGAGTTTTTTTTATATGTAGAAAATTAGCATGCCTCATAAAGTAAAATATATACAACAACAACAATAATAACAAAAGTATACTCATTGAAAGTCTGTTCCATTCCTATCCTTTCTACTCTGTCACTCAGTACATTGCAGAACACCAGTTTCAGGGTTTAATAGATTAAACTTTTCCTGTGCTTCCTTTTGCAAAAAAAAGATGATGCATATGTGTTTTTCTTATTTTATAATGTACTATGTAATCTCACTTGCCTTAGACTTTTTCCTTGAAGTATGATTGGGATCATGTCACATCAGCTCATAGATTCCCTTCATTATTATTTATAGCCAAAAAGATAATCCACATAGTTTAACAAACATCCTATTTCTTTTTTTTTTCCAAATTTTACAATTGCAAATAATGCTGCAAATAAAAATCCTTGTAAAAATGTATTAGTGAGTATAGGAAGGACATATTCAGAGCATCAGAGCATCAGAGCCAGTGAAGGCTTCTACATATTGGTCACTACATTATTTCTTTATTCATAGTCTAGGATCATAGTTCAAAGCTCAGTCATATCAAACTTAATTTTTACACAAATAATTGTTTTGAATATAGCAGAAGAAATAAAAAATAAGAAAGCATTTTCTGGCCATATTAAGAATTCCTGCTTCACATACTCCACAAAAATCACCAAACATCTACTAGTTATAAATAAGACAAACCTCAGAATATAAAAAATGGCACTCCAAGCCACTGAGTCAAATGGTTAATTTTTGTTTCCAACTCCTTTTTTACTCTTTATTTCTACTATCCTGGTAAATTTTAAGGTTTATTTGAAACTTTATAGAACTAAAAAAATTGTATTTGTTACTACGTTTTTGTAGTTTTTAATTTATATTCCAGTTTTTATTTTAACTATTCTGACAGGTGTGAGGTGGTATCTCATTAAGGTTTTGATTTGTGTTTCCATGATGATGAATAATGTTGAGGATCTTTGAAGCATTATCTACAATAGCCAAATTATCAAAAGAGACCAAATGTCCATTGTCTGATGAATAGATAAAGAAAATGTGGTATATGCACAGTGGAATATTACTCAGCCATCACAAAGAATGAAATCTTGGCATTTACAGCAATGTGTTTGGAGCTAAGTGAAAGAAGTCAGTCAGAGAAAGACAAGTACCATGATTTCACTTGTATGTAGAATTTAAGAAATGATAAAATAAGAAAAGGTAGGGGGAGAGAGAGAGAAAAACCAAGAAAGAGAAACTTAACTGTAGGGAAAAAAGCTGATGGTTACCAGAAGTGAGGTGGGCATGGGGAAGGAGGGATGGAAGAAATAGGTGATAGGGATCAAGGAGTGCACCAGTGATGCTTTTGATGAGCACCAGTGATGTATGGAAGGGTTGAAATACTACATTGTATATCTAATAAAACTAATATTACACTGTGTTAACTAATTGGAATTTAAGCAAAAATTTAAAAATAAAATCAGATTGTACTTCATACCATTAAGATAGTTATTATAAATACAATAAAGTAATAGCACAAAATTTAAAAAAACATAAAAATTTCATGTTATTTTGTGCATATAATTATACAAAATAAGAACTCAGTTAAAGTTGCTTAAAATTGCTAGTTGTTTTTTAAAAGAGGTTACTGAAATAAAAAATTAAAATTAAAAAAAAAAAAAACAATATGACCTGTATTCTTGAAATCTAAGGGTGGTCAGATAACTAAATCCTTTCAAGTTTGGAGTAACTAGAATTTTCACAACTGCTTTCATAAGGATTATTCCAAGTGGCTTAATCAAGTTTACATCTGACCCCCTGCCCCTTTTCTAGAGGCCAGGACCCTCATGAACCAAGTGTATGGATGGTTGGATGAAGCTGCTACAACTCTTTGGTCCGTTAAGACGTGTATGCATAGAAAGCTGAAGAGAAGGCTAAGAGAGCCCAG